TTTTTTTTCTCCCTCCACTTTTATGCTATTACAAACAGTGCTGCTGTAATTTTTAATGAACTTGTGTCCAGTAGCATATGCACAAAAACTATGCTGGAGTGTAACACCCCAGGAGTGAGTCATAAGAGATGTGCATCTTTTTAGACATTGCAAAAATGTTCTTCAAAGCTATTTTGGCAATTGATTTGCAGCCAACAATGTATGAGAGTTTCCATTTTTTTCCATATCCATGCCAACAGTGGACCTTACCAGACTTTTTACTTTTTTAGCAATCTTTTGGCTGTATTATGCATAGCATCTCACTGGCATTTTAATTTGCATTTTCCTGATTACTAATGAAGTTCACTATGTTTCATATGTTTAGTAACTGCTTTTGTTTCCTTTTTGTGAAATACTTGATCATGAATTTTACCTGTTTTTTATTGCTTTTAAACATTCTCTGAATATTGGATACTAACCCTTTATTGATGATTTGTGTTGCAGGCATCTTCTCTGACTCTGGTTTACTTTTCATCCTTTTTTAAAGTTTATTTTATTGATTTTAGAGAGAGGAAGGCAGAAAGAGAGATAAAGAAAGGAGAGAGAGAGAGAGAGACAGAGAGAGGGAAAGAGAGAGAGAGAGACATCGATCTGAGAGAAAAACATCAATTGGTTGCCTCCTGCATGTGCCGGACTGGGAGTCAAACTCACCGCCCTTTGGTGTACCAGAAGATGTTCCAACTAACAGAGCCACCTGCCCAGGGCTAGTTTTCATTCTTTTTATGGTGTCTTCAGACAAAAAGAAATTCTTAATTTTAATGTAGTCAAATTTATTTATTTTCCATTTTCTCAAATTTGGGTCAGTTGTTCCTGCATGATTTATTGAAGGGGTTTGACCTGTCCCCACTGCTCTGCAGTGTCACCTCTGACATGTAGCAAGTGTCAGTATGTGTGGATCTGTTTCCAAGCTTTGTTCAATCCTGTTATTTCCCATGCTGTGCCTAGTCTTCTGTTTAACTTGCCCGTTTTTAAAATTTGATTTAAAATGTATTTCTAGATGTTCTAGATGTTTCTTTTTCAAATCTTCATTCATGGTCAGTTTTATGTCTTGGCTCATACTTTTGATACCCTCTTTTATTTCTTTAAACTTATTGAAATTATATCAAAGCTGTCTGAACTGCAAATTAGTCATTGGGTGATTTATTCCACAGATAGACTTGCATACATGCCAAATAATATATGAACAGTTATTCATTCCAACATTATTTACAAGATAGCAAAAGATTGGAAACACCCTAAATGTTCATCAATTGAAGACTGATTAAATATTGTACATCCACACAAAATGGATTCAATGCAGAAGAAAGACGAAAAAAAGAAAAAGGGGGGGGGGGGAGGATGCTTTTAA